CTTATTGCCTGTGTCAAGTAATGGTAATTCAAATATCCAGACAGGCCCAAACATAAACAACTACAAACAAATATAATCTAGTTTTTTTAAAAATCTGCCTATTTTTTTAAGATGCTACTATAATCTAACATCTCAAATGGTACAAAAATGCCTTACTAGTCTCCATCTATTCTCTCAACATTTGGATAAAATAATATTCACGTTAAATAAATCCTTTCTCCCTTCTCCCTTCAGTAAAAAAAAAAAAGCACATTTAACGTAACATTAAATATTGTGACTTCAGACCAATACTTCATGCCTCGAAGGACTTCACCAGCTTCTCTAACAGGCTAGACTCTGGAGATTAAAGTTCCTTCATGGGCAGATTCCTCCAAACCCCCTTTAATGCTGTTCTAAAACACAGGTCCAATCCTGTCCCTACCTTTCAATGGCTTCCCCCTACCTACAAATTAAACACCAACCAGCTTAATGTTATATGCAGAATTTAAAATGTGGCCTCCAAATTCATCCCTAGACAGACCAGCCATAGGAAACTACAGGTGGTGCTGGCAGTGGTGACATCATCATCAATATCAACTGGGCATTTACTGAATACCAGGAGCCTACGAATCACTTCACTTCATTTAAGCTCACCCCTGAGGTAGGTGTTCTCATCCCACGCTACACATAAACACACTCACAAAGGAAGACAGATGAAAAGAAAAGGAAGGAAAGGAAGGAAGGAAGGAAGGAAACAAACAAGGGGCTAACTTTTGGCTAGGACTGAAATCCCCCATGGTCTCTCTAACTCCTTTCATGCCTCTGCTCCTGCTTTCCCCTCCAGCCAGATGTCTTTTCTCTCCCATTCTGATATTCTATAGAATCACCTTCTCTTCCCAGATAACCTTCAGCGCCGAATTCCCTCACTATATGCATTTGTATCTCCTCTATCAAACCATAAAGTCTGTAAGGATACATCTCTGGGTTTTTTTATTTTTATTTTTCTTCAGACAGAATTCCGCTCTTGTTGCCCAGGCTGGAGTGCAATGGCATGATCTCGGATCACTGCAACCTCCACCTCCCGGGTTCAAGCATTTCTCCTGCTTCAGCCTCCCAAGTAGCTGGGATTACAGGCATGTACCACCATGTACGGCTAATTTTGCATTTTTAGTAGAGATGGGGTTGCTCCATATTGGCCAGGGTGGTCTCGAACTCCCGACCTCAGGTGATCCACCCACCTCAGCCTCCCAAAGTGCTGGGATTACGGATATGAGCCACCGCACCCGGCCCTCTGTTTATATATTTAGTCAAAAACGACCTATTCTATAAAGGGTTTATGGCAATTTTAAGGTCATGAAGAAGCTCCCAGTAAAAACCTAATTTGAAATTAAATTGGTCTGAATACTGACGCACAACTAAGCCAACTGTTTACTGCAACATTAAAAAAATGCCAATAATTACAGCAAAGTTCAAAAGTAGAAAGGGAAGGAAATCTACTGGCATCAGCTGCTGTATTTCAGGAACTGTACTGAGAACTCTGTAAGTCCACTTCATGTAACTCTCAGAATAGCCTTATACAATAGGTTTTATCCCAGTTTATAGAGAAGGAATTGAATCTTTTAAAAGGCTTTGGGGGTTGGCTCTTTCACCATTATTTGCTGGAGTTTGGGTCTTCAGGCTCTGGGTCACAGATTTCTTTCCAGGCTACCCTGTAGCAATTTGAGAGCTGGAACCACTTTCCACTGGGTCCCAAAGATCCAGGAAGAGCTTAGTGCTGTTGACTAGACCTTGGATGGGCCCACCACAAAAGTTTAACCCAACCTTGACCTCAGAGTCTTCATAAATGCTCACTGAAGAAAATTTCCAGGATGACTCAGGGGCCTCTCTTCTGCTCAAAGATGTCAATAAAGAACCTTAGTAACACGACTTTCAACCCTAGTACCAAATTCCCCCCTTCCCTTCTACCAGAAGATTCATTCCAACAACTGGATAGAAGAGAATCTTCCAGGACATCAGAGATCGCTTGTTTTAGTAGTAGGCAAAGTGAGCACACTGCTATCTATGCAGAAAGAAAATAGGGCAAAATTGAGATACCTGTTACTCAACAGATTTTCTCGGCTTGAAAAAGAACTAGTAGACACCGGCCTAAAGGGAGTTCAAAATGTATCAAGAAGAGAACCATTCCAATGTGGCTGCAGTTTCTGTGTGTGTTATAGCCTAAGAATGCTAGAACAGGGAATCATGACACCAAGCCAATTCAACCATAAACTATTATTCTTGTACTTTTTGCTGGTAATTTTATGCACCAGGTTGAGAAAGTTACTCTATGCTAGGACAGCCTGTATACCAATAATTTTGATAAAGAGTTCTGTGATGTCTTTTCTGTTATCTTTTCCTTTCTACCATGATACCAGTAATTTATAAGAGACCTATGCAGCTTGAATGTGTTTGAATAACTTCAACATACTTTAGCTCTCCTCTCTGACATGACCCAAAGAGCCAGTAGGTCCTAAAATTTCCACGTGTGTTAGAAGCCTGAAGTGAGAGGAAGCCCAATATCAAGAATCGTAGTAAAGCAACTTGTGGGGCAACAATGTAAAGAAAATATTGGGTAGTTTGGCAAGAGCATCGTTAAATTTTCTGGTTTTCAAAAGTTTGAATTCCAATAAAAGGACCTTCAATGTGCTATTTTTGCAATTTTCAGTAACAAATGTGTGTATAGAGAAACAATAAAACGGACATAAGGCTGCATGATGAATCAGTCATGTGGCTTTGGACCAGTAAGGAGTGGAGCTCAATTTCAACCCAGATGCTCTGACTTGGAAGGCCATTCTTCCAAGCATCTTTTTTCTAATATATCAGCTATACATTCTGACTCCAGGTCTAACTCCAAAGACTACACTGTTTTCACAATACCATGTCTTCTAAACTGAACCAAATACGTGCACAAAATAGTTGATTCTCTTCTTCCAATTTCTTTTCATTCAGGAAAAGGGAAAGAAAATACATTTAATTAAGCATCCAATAAACATAAACAAATACAGTATTAACATTTAAATGCTTTTCCGGCAATATTCTTTTAAATGATAAACCAAAAGAATATATATCTAACATACTAGAAAAAAAGTGCCGGCAATTAAGGAGTGCAACCAGTAACACCGTAACTATGTGTAATCAGGTAAGTCACTGGGAAGTGAAAAACACCTAAATTTCTTCCTAAAGTTACTAAAACCAAATTAGTAAACCTCATCTTATAAATATGGTAGCCAAATGTGAGACACTACCCGCAAAACGCAGAGGGGCACAGACAAGGCGCAGCAATATCATGATGCCTCAGTTCACAAGTAAGGGAGACACACCAATAATGAGATACACTGTAAGGACACCAATGACCAATATACGGCATTGCAATGGCTGTTCCAAGAAACATCCATTTATACTGTTTCCTGGATTTCAGGCATAAAAAGATGACTGAAGATATATACTGGCCCTATTGCCTTGACAATTCATAACCTAACAGTTACCATTTCAATACTCAGAAAATTATAAAGAAAATGTACTTTTCTTAAGACTCTACGACCAGTATACTATCTATAACTCTGACATACACATATTGTACAACCTTAATATATAATTATCAAATCTGATAACCAATGTTCTGTAAATTACCAGCTACTACAATATTTTGGTGCTTGCCTTTTAACCAAAACGAGGGGGAGGTTGGAATAAGCCTCATTTCACCTGCCCTTTCCAAAATTTCGCTTCAAGAGTGTTCAAAAATTCAGTATGTCCAGGTATAAATCTCCAAGTTTGTCTAATTTTCACTGCTTAACAAAAGCGATGTAGAAAGCAATTACTGTACCCTCCATCAATCTTTTCAGATTGCACAGAATTTCTTCCAGAAAATTCCAATAGAAAAAAGTTAGGTATTCCCGTTTTGGTATGTATGTCGTCTTTCACACAAGTCATTGCAGAGTGAAAGCCTTTAAAACATTTAAATGTTCCTGGTATTGCTTTCTGATGAACATGATAAAATAAATAATCCATATTTACGAAGATTACAAACACTTCCACGACGTAAGGAAAATCTCTCCAAAACACAAAATCTAATTCAAAAATTATAAATAAAAAGAGAAATATAAAAACAATTGCATAAACAAACTTTGAAATGCGCGTGGGTTGACATTACTGAAGCCATTACTCAAAAGAAACCTCTGTAAAATCGAGAACGCACAATCAATGCAATAAGATGCTGGAGAAAGCCAAACCACAGGGGCTGCGCAGTTCCCTCACTGCAAATTTCAACCCATTCATTACAAAACGAATTACATCCAACGTCACTCACTAAGGAGAGGAGAAGTGCGTGACTCTCTCCACAGCACGCGACAGTTTCGCTGCGCCCCCACGGAGGGCGGCCAGGAGCCGGGCGCGAGGACTGTCCGGCGGGCATTCCGGTAGCCTGCAACTTGTAAAGACCACAGCCATCCCCTGGGCCTGTGAAGGGTGGCCCGAAGGCAGGCCCGCATCCCCGGGGTGACCCTCCCCACCCCTCCCGGCGTCCCGGGACTATGCAACGCTCCCCCTCCCCGCCCGCATTCCGGCGTAGCGCCCCCTTCCCGCGCCCGAGTGCGCCACCCCGCGGAGCCCCGCCCGCGGGCCTCCCAGCCCTGCTCCAAACAAGGCGCGCGCTAAGGGGCTGGCAGCGGCCAGGGAAGTGGGGACAGGAGGGTGGCGGCCATGTTGGCGGGGGGCGGCAGATATGGGGGGACAGAAAAATACCAGACGGCGAAAAAGGAGCGCGCGCCCGCCCCGAGGCCCAGGCCCGCCCCTCCCGGGTCCCCGCACGGACCGGCCGGCAGGAGACGCGGTGCGGGCGCCGCCCGCAAGACAATCCTCCGCCGGTCCCCGCGCGGGCCGCGCTTACCTGCGTCCCCGGCCAGGCCGCCGCACCGCTGGCCCGCCCGCAACCCCCACCCCCTCACGGGCCTGCACGACCCACGCTCGCCCTGCGCGGATCTTACCTGCTGGCCGCTGAGGCCGCCGTACACAGGCCCGCGGTTTCCGCCGTCGCTCATTCGCGCCCCCACCGGCCCCAGCCCGAGCCAGAAGGCGCCTCCTCGCCCCCGGCTCCCTCCCCGCGGACGCCGCCCGCTCACCAGCAGCCAGGGTACCCGGGCACTGCGCCGGACCAACTGCCACTGCCGACCCGCAGCGGGACGCCGACGGTCCACGGCGCGGACTGCACACCACGCAGGCGCGGTGGAGCGGAGCGGGGTGGGGGGCGGCCAAGGCGGGGCCTGGCGCCGCTCACCTGGCGGGCGGCAGGGCGGGGCCCGAGCTCGGGACTTCCAGGTGCGCGCCGGGAATGGGCGGGGGCAGGCGCCGGAGCCCAGGAGCCTGGGGGGGCGCAGCGTCTCCCGGAAGGCAGGCAGCCAGAGATGGGCTTCGTTTTCGCGCAGTAGGACTTTCAAGAAAGGACAAGCCCCCTTTGTCCTGGGACGTAAGCCGCAAGTCGTCATGAGGGGTGCAGCGCGAATGCTGAGGAAGCTGGATCACAGGGCTGGGCTGCGAGCCTTGTGAGCCCTGAACCTCGGGAACGCCGCAGCTCTCCTCCAGCGCGCCGGTTCAGGGCCGCGGGACGCGAGCCCTTCAAAAGGATGGATTTGCTTCCTGTGGCTCCCTGGAAGAGACGTCTTCACCACCGCACTGCGTAGAGGCCGGCGGCGTCGCCCGCTCACTCCGCTTGCTGCCTCCCCGCACAAAGCCCTGCCCAGGTAGCTCAGGTTAGCTGGAGCCCCGGGGCCCACCTGCAAACACCCGGCCTGGCCTAGGCTGTGTGGGGACGGGATGTGGCCCTGGAAGCCCAGAAACCTGTTTCCAGCCCCCCACCGCAAATGGAACTCACTCAGCTCCACTCGCGAGGTTAAGAGCCAAAAATTCCCATGATCGCAGGCGAATTCATTTGACTTCCGTTTCAGTTAATTTTGTTGCTTGTTTACAGGAGAAGGGAGAGAGGTAGCATGAAGAACAGTTTTTATTCCTGCAGGATCGAGTGCGGGACTTGGAGGCTGAGTCCAGCCGGCCGCTGTCCACTCCCCGCCAGCCCCGTGTCCTGGGGCAGGTCACTGACCCGGTTCCTCGAGTGCGGCAGGGCAGCCGCTTCCTACTAAACCGCCTCCCAAAGCGTTGTCAGATCCCATTTCAGAACATGTTATTGGAAAACGCCTTGAACACTCCAAACTGCAGCACAGTTATTAGGTAGCAACACTCGGCTTTTACTGGCACCCTTTCTTCCAAAGAAGATTGATGTGTGTCTGCTCAAACAGATCGAAGTGCTTGTCCCAGATGACACACTTGGCAGGCATGGCACGTTCACAGGCCAACTAGAGGGCGAAATTCAATACCGAGATATAAAAGTGTATCGCTGTAATTACAAGTTGACAAGTGTTGAGAGATTATTCACTTTGATTTGTGTATTTAATGTCGTGTGTGTGTGTGCGTGTGTGTGTGTGTGTGTGTGTGTGTGTGCGTGTGCGACAGAGTCTCACTGTGTTGCCCAGGCTGGAGTGCAGTGGCGAAATCTTGGCTCACTGCAACCTCACCTCACAGGATCAAGTAATTCTCAGTGCCTCAGCCTCCGGAGTAGATGGGATTACAGGTGTGTGCCACCACGTCCAGCTAATTTTTTTGTTTTTGAGACGGAGTTGCCCAGGCTGGAGTGCAATGGTGCGATCTCGGCTCACCGCAACCTCCGCCTCCCGGGGTCAAGCGATTCTTCTGCCTCAGCCTCCTGAGTAGCTGGGATTACAGGCATGCGACACCACGACCAGCTAATTTTGTATTTTTGGTAGAGTTGGGGTTTATCCATGTTGGTCAGGCTGGTCTCGAACTCCCGACTTCAGGTTATCCGCCTTCCTCTGCCTCCCAACGTGCTGGGATTACAGGCGTGAGCCACCATGCCCGACTCAGCTAATATTTTTTAAAATATGTTTAATAAAGATGGGGTTTTGCCATGTTGGCCAGGCTGGTCTCAAACTCCTGCTTTCAGGCAATCCGTCGGCCTCAGCCTCCCAAAGTGCTAGGATGACAGCTGTGAGCCACTGTGTCCAGCCTGTTTAATGTCTTATAGTGGGGTAATCTCAGAAACGAGGAGGGATGGGAAGAAGGTAGGTGCCGAGAAGTCTGCTGATTGGAACATTTCATCTCACTGGTTAGAGCCCTGGGTTTCTCCACCTAAGCACTGTTGACTTTTGGGTTGGAATAATCCTTTTGTGTGGGGTCTGTTCCATGCTTTGTAGGATGTTTGACAGCATCTCTGGCCTCCACCCACTAGATGTCAGTAGCACACCCACTCCTCCAAAATTTGCATCAAATCTCTTCAAAGTCAAATATGTTGCCTCACCTCCCTCTCCATCCCCAACCCCTGATTTAAATTTTGCCTCTAGTAATGGTCACACTGGGAGCTATGGAGACTACACAGGACTGGAGCTCACGCCTGTAATCCCAACAGTTTGGGAGGCCAAGGCAGGAGAATGACTTGAGCCCAGGAGTTCCGCAAGGGCAACATAGCAATACCCCAACTCTAAAATAAATGAATAAATTTTTTAAAAATTAAAGGCCGGCCGGGCGCGGTGGCTCACACCTGTAATCCAAGCTCTTTGGAGGCCAAGGTGGGCGGATCACCTGAGGTTGGGAGTTCAAGACCAGCCTGACCAACATGGTGAAACCCTGTCTCTAAAAAAATTTAAAAAATTAAAGGCTGAGCACATTGGCTCACACCTGTAATCCCAGCACTTTGGGAGGCCGAGGTGAGTGGATCACCTGAGGTCAGGAGTTCGAGACCAGCCTGGCCAACATGGTGAAACCCCATCTCTTCTAAAAATACAAAAATTAGCTGGGCGCAGTGGCACGTGCCTGTAGTCCCAGCAACTGGGGAGTCTCAGGCATGAGAATTGCTTGAACCCAGGAGGCAGAGGTTGCAGTAAGCCAAGATCGTGCCACTGCACTGCAGCCTGGGTGACAGAGTGAAACTCCATCTTAAAAAAAAAAAATTCTCTTTCTTTATAAATTACCCAGTTTCAAGCAACAGAAAATAGACTGAGACACCTAACATGTGAATTCTGATAAGATGGTGGCCTCAATGAGACAGAGGCATCTCTTCTGTGTTGGATGTGATGAGGCACTGGGGCCAGATCTCTGACTGAGAGCCACAGTTGATACAGGCTCCATGTGAGGAAGTGTGGAGTCCCGGCTCTGGGTCAGAACCGAAGTGACCAGCACCTGCCTGGATGGTCAGCATTAAGACCAGAGGAGGGGAACAAATAAAGAAGGCACAGAGACAGGGTCAGAAACAAACTGAGCACACACAGCCCTGCTGGGAGCCTCTCCAGGTGTTGCCTGCTCGCCTGGGTTCCAGGAGGCTGGCAAGGGTGGGAGCATGTTCCATGCCTTCTCTAGCCCCCTGTCACATTATCGTAGTCTTGTAAACTCCCAGAGCATACATCCTTTCCTCTATTCTCTGCTGTATCTCCACGGCCTACACAAAAGTCTATGAGAGTAGAGGTCAATAAAGACACTACAAGGCTGGGCGCTGTGGCTCACACCTGTAGGGCTGAAGGCTCACAGGGTCGTGGGGTATGCCTTATGCTGGGCTGAGGCGCATGATCCAAGAAATAAAGAGACGGGACACAGAAGTACAAGGAAAATGCAGCTGGGCTTGAGGGCTACGCCACCTATGAGCGGAGTCAGGCGAGGCTCTGAATGTCCAGAAGCGTGAGTATCTATTGTGTATAGGTTAGGGGGCAGGGCAGTGAGTGAAATCATCTTTAAGGATAGTGATAGGGTTGTGAGCAATAAAACATGGGGTCCACCCCCATTAGGTCACCTAGGC